GAGTACGATTCTTGGAAGACCTGTGCGACAGCCACGAATACGACAACAACCATAGCCCGTCTTGCATGAAAGTCAGTTTGACACCTACTTTGCCTTGCCGCCATGATCGTAATTATGCAACTTTTTTATCTCGTTTCAGCGCAAAACTCCAGCTTCTCCCCCATGATATTGTTATTCAGACTAACAAAAATGTGGTAGAAGAGTATGGAAATGTAAAAATATGTTGCGGTTTCGGCGAACTTCTAGTCCAGCTGGCCATCTTAAAAGGCACATTTTCGAAAATTCACCCAACAATGCACAAAAAGCGGACTCGGTTATTTACAAAATTTACGTCTACAACCCATGGTTGACATCTGAATTGAGCACTTTGAAGCTTTTTGATGCTTGATAATACCATAAAACAGCATTTAGGAGAGAAAAATCTCCACACCCATTAAGAAAAATGGCGCCGCCGAAAGCTAACTCTTTGCTCTAAGCGACCAATTGTTTTGTTTATCACGCAGTAACGAGAAAGAAGCAAAAGGAATCGCAAAAAGTCAAGATCGATACAAAAAGTCATGTTGATCCAAGATATTTCTTATTATCCATTAATATTACTTGATGTGCAGTCATTTCAAAATGGAAATGTAACCTATAATTTTATAATAATGTGCGATGTAAACAAATTAATTCAAAGGACCCATCTGCTGTGTTTATAACCCAAAAGTCCGCATGAAATCGCATGATAAAATATTCACGAAAACACACTAAATAAACCAGATGGTAATTTTCATCGATTTTTTTGGACCTGAAGAACCGAAAGGAACCGCTCATAGGCTTCAAGAATATTGTGTCACGCAACGCAATCATGCGAATTTAATAACTGGTTCGTCCGCAAAATATTTACCAGGTTGTTTGAAATAAGAAAGAAGTACGTTAATTTTAAAATGAAATTTCCCCTTTCCTGCACGCATAACTGACGTTTTGATTCCGGTGAGTAGCCTCTCGATCCTACTTTCAGCTCTTGACGCCTGATTATCTATTGAACGAAGATGTTTATAGAAAAGACTCCAACAAGAAGACATCGAGTAATTCAAAGTAGTCATATGAATATCGTGTACTTCTCAATTCTTTGAAGACCGACCGCTAACGGGCAAAAAAAGTTATGATTTGGTGGGTGTGACTTGAGTTACCGCTATGATTCTGCGAAGAAACATAATAATAATCATAATAATCATAACAATAATAATAATAATAATAATAATAATAATAATAATAATATAATAAATACATAAAATTGAAGCTCCCCCTCAGGAGCTTATCAGCCACAATGTAAACTAAGTGCATAAACTGTTTAAAGTGCTTAGTGTTTCCGGTAGCCACCCTATCAACAAAATCAGAGAAAAATAATTTTCAGTTTACACGAAATTTACGCGTAGATCCATGGCAGTTACAACTTGTTATTGATTCGCGAATTAAATTTGCCTCACGGGTCACGAAGCACAAAATAAGGAATCCAAGTATTTTGTCTTGCATTTTAAAATATGGAAGAACATGTGTTAGCTTAAGAGATGTTACACATTCCGTGAGCCTTGAAAATTGAGGTGAGACAATTACAGCCAATCTCAGCTCTCGACACCTATTTCGGAAAACGTTACCCGAATATGACAGCAATAGGTCTTTCTGATTAGCTAGTTTCCAATCTCTTAAATGACCTTGCAAACTTATACTATCTAAATTGACCACGAAAAAGCAGTTTTAATGATCCAAAACTCAGAATCAATTTATTTAAGTTCAAATATAAACTCTCTTTTTTGTCCTCCACCAACAAAACTCCATAAATGACTTAATATACAATCGAATATCCTTACCTACAAAAATAAATTTATGCCATAGTTGTAATAATTATCTGACATGATGCAGTGAAACCCTTATGTTCAAATTGACAACATGCTCGTACACCATGGAAACGAAACAGTTTAAGAATTTTTTTTCGATTTTTTGTTGTTTTAGTTATGTTTTCTAAGTGTCAATGTCGTTACTCTTGTGGTTGTTGCTGTTGCCATTGCTGTTTTGTTGTTGTTGTTGTTGCTGTTGTTGTTGTCATTGCTGTTTTGTTGTTGTTGTTGTCATTGCTATTTTGTTGTTGTTGTTGTCAGTGCTGTTTTGTTGTTGTTGTTGTCATTGCTGTTTTGTTGTTGTTGTTGTTGTCATTGCTGTTTCGTGGTTGTCGTTGTTGCTATTGTTGTTATGTTGTGACATGGAAGAGAACACTAAAGAAGAGTGTCATTATTTATCCCTATGCCAAAATAAAGTTTGCCCATCTTAAAAATGATACCAAACAAGGACCGAAAAAGAACTTCGTAAAAATAAATAATAAAAACAAAATAAATAGGAAAAATGTAGCGTGGTTTAGAAAATTATAGCAACGAGTCATGTAGTCTACTTAAACTCATGATTTATAAAAATTGTGACCGGGTGTTGCAAAAGCACATAGTCATAATATCTTTTCCGTAAATTCAAACTTCATCAAACTATACCCTGGTATTTTCAGAGCACAAGAGAAGGTCTCCACATTGAAATAAGATTTTTCTATCGTTCGCGTTCTACAGCAAAGGGTTTGACTATTCTAACTGGTAGATGTTGTGTTCCCAACGATAGTACTCGTTACCAGTCTCTACAGTTCAGAGGACACCACCCAAGTGGAACACTGCTGGAGGGTGGCCAAAGCACGGTCTAATTGCGAGCACCCCTGAATGAGGCCCATCCTAAAAACATTAAAGCTGGTTGTTAGAGTTAAAGTATGATTAATGATATTAGAGCCGGCATGTTAACAAGCTCAAAAGTCACCACCTTTCTTATTCTAATTACGCAAAAGATGTCGACTTTGCTGATCCCTACATGTACAAACCGAGTATATGGCCTTGCTCTCTACATAGTTCGCTGTAGCTCAGTGGCATCGGACAGCAAAATCCGAATGTCTCAAGCTCGCGGAAAAAAACAAAAAACATCTTTCTTTCGTATTCATGTAGTTTAAGGATGTGCACCGAGAACTGCACGTGTTAAAATGCAACGTAACCGGAAAACTACACAAGATTAATTCTTCAACGTTCAATTTATGTGTATTTCAAGACGAGATGAAATAACTGTACAAATTACCTTGTGTTTGGATCCCTGGCAAATTTAAACAAGTCCGTCGCTGTGACGTTAGTATTCATGGATAATATCTGCAAGAGGTAAAGTTGACTTGTTGGTGGCCTTTATCATTAGGGAAGTTCATTCCTGTTGCTAGGTCTTCCAACAGCTATTGAATTATATGTTTGTATATACATATATTTATTTCCTGTAAATTGATTAAAGTATCTGAAACATATCAGTGGCAAGCGTAACCGAAATAAAACAAAAACAACAAAACTACGACAGTTTCTTTGGAGAACATAAAAACATCTTCACCATCAAAGAACGTCGGTTAATCCAGAGCATTCCCAGTGTAAACATTTCAACAGTAACAAAATTGCAGTGAGAACTAAAAGTGAAACAATAAAATTCACAGAGTAAGGTGAGGGAAAACACAACACAAGTGGCCAGTCAATTGGTGTTTTGGTCGAAAGGGCAGACCATGTTTTCTACCAATCAGAGAGTGAAGTTTGGGCCAAAACCGATGCAATTCTGGATAACTTTCGAAACTCAACTATAAATTCCCCTCCTGACGGAAATTAAATTTCCAATGAGTTTACTCACCTCCTGGAGGAATTGCGTAACTGCCTGTAACAAATTTTCAAACATTTGAAAATTTCCTCTCTCGCTTCCTTTAGGTTCTTGAAGAACACTTCCAATAATAAAAAAAAAACCGAGGTCAAAAATTATCAAAAAAAGAAATAATTGAGAAATGAGAAGTAGTTAGCTTAATGGATAGAGCGCTGGACTGTTGTGCAGGAGATCGAGGGTTCGAGCCCCGGCCGGACCAACACTCAGGGTCAA